GTGCCGGTTTCCCCCCCCCCCCCCCCGCGGTTTTGTTTCTCTCTCTCTCGTCATTCTCCTTTTCATTACAATTTTTATTACTATTATTTTATTTCAATTATTAAACTGTTCTTATCTCAACCCACGAGTTTTGTTACTTTTGCCCTTCCAATTCTCTCCCCCATCCCACTGGGGTGGCGGGGGGGCAGGGCAGGGCGGGAGGGTGAGCAAGCAGCTGTGTGGTGCTTGGTTGCTGACAGGGGCTAAACCACAACAGGTTCTAAACCACAACAGGTTCTTGCACTGGGCCCTGTTTGTGCTACGTCACAGCTGTGTAGCAGTTATGTCTCCACCCAGTCTCATACCCCCTTGATTCTGACCTGGATCCTGAGCCACTGATTGACCTTCCTCCCTTGACCTCAGACCCAACTCATTGTAATGGACATGCTGGGCAATCACTGGATGGTATCTGATGCTGGTTACTCTCTCTGGCCCTGGGCCTGATCCTGACTTGCTGGCCTGACTTTCCAGCTTGACCTCATAGCTATGGGCTTGTCTGATGATCTGGACTCTCAACTGAACCTCATGACCCTCACCACCACTGCTCTGCTCACTCAAATACTGGGGGACAGGGCCTTTGCTCGTGAGGCCACTGCCTCTTCCTGCCTCATAACAGTGCTCTGCTTCTGCCTCCCCCCTTCCCTTAGGAAGCAGTTTGCACTTGCTGCTTCCTAACAAGTACACTTGTAACTTTTTCTTGCTTTTTTCTGGAAAATTACTACCTCTCCAATGGAGCACTGAGAATTGTTTCCGTGAGTTGGATCATTCCTTCCACTACTTCAGTGGTAGCATCTCGTACCATCTTCCGAAGAGTAGTACCTGGTTGAGATTGAGAAAGAGCAAGAAAGTTGCCACAAAGTCAGCACCAACAGAAAGCAACTGCCAAAGATGGAACACACAGACTGCTCTGTTTGTGTGGATACACTGTATAAATGAAGTTACAGGTATTTTGAAGGAAGCCACGTGTTTCCCAGTTCCAAAAGGACTTTGGACAAGGACCTCAACACTTTATAAATATGAATGCTCAACCATTTATACAACTTCCTACATTATCACTCTTTCAAAGATGGAAATCTGCAGGAACAGACAGGCAAGTGGTTCACTCACAAACGTGTTACAAGTCTAGAGAATAGGTGATAATGGCACTACCTACTCATGATAACTTGCTTTCCTGTAGATGCCAGATCTCATATTAGGCTCTGAAATACTGGGTTACCTTATACAGTGATGAAGGAACCACTACCCTATATAGTGGTAACTGCCCTGCTGTCACCATCTCACCTTGGCCCTTGGGGAGCCAGTAGTACACTGTGGCAACTGCAAGAATGGCACTTTGGACATCTTCACTCAACTTCCGGCAATCCTGAAAACAGATAGGCAAAAGGATTAACTGTGAGTACTGCATGGCTGCACCGCATTTAAAAAGTCTCACAAGCAATCACTTACATTCAGATTGCTTTGAAAAAAGGGAAGTATGGTAATGGCCATCTTGCTTGAGAAACAAATACAGCACAAGAAGATGCAGTAAGCAAGCTGCATACATCATAAGCCGCCTCATGATTTGGTAACAAAACACGCCCTGGTGTGGTGGTCATGCATCAGAGAGGAAGAAGTCACTTAGCTCATTATTCTGAACTGGAGGTCTTTTTTTTTCTCCTCCAAACACAGCTGTGATAAACTTTTCACAATTAACAGCAAAAATATTGCGTATTCTCTGTTAGATCTAGTCTCTATCAGCAACCAGCTGTAGATGTTAAAGAAAAGAATGTAAGAATGCTTCTATTTGGTATGTCTCCCTAACTTACAGAAATTAGTTCTCTGGGCAGTTCTTGAATTGGATTAATACACTCTACAAAGCATAGCCCATACTGACATCCCTTGCCTGCGCTGAACCAAGTGACTTTTTTCTAGCCAAGCGAACCAAGAGATACCTGAAACTTGCCACACACGCTGCAGTTGCACAGTCTGTGGGGGCTTTCACTCACCTCTGCAGAAGTCAGTGGAGGCCTTGAGAATGCCACACTCAGCTTTGTAGCTTCCTGTGACGTTACTTTGAATGTCTGACCTTGAAAGGATTCAGTGGGAGCAAAACAACAGAAAGTAACTTGGGTAAAAGATAAAAGATCAGAGCAGCTAGATGAGCAACATCTCCGATGCTACTTTGTCCTACTGCTTGATTACCATTTCTTCCTTCCAAGCAATACAAAGGCATAAACTAAATCCCACCACAGAAAAAGAAAAATTCCATGGCGTATTTGTGCCATGCATGTTGCGTGTGTCCTACGTCTGCTCTTTTTCTAGTTTTTTTACTTCGCTGGTAGCAACATCCACAAGCACATTTTGTGTCCTGGTCCACGACACCTTCACCAGGATGCGCCGTGAGGCTTTAACAGAGACCAAAGGCTTTGAAAACCTAGTTGTGACAACTGCTCGACACCGGCCACCGCTTTGCCAACGCTAACGCCCTGGCGTGGAGGGCGAGTGCAAAGGCCCTGCCCGGAGACCTGCCGAGGATCTCGCTTGCAAGCCAGAGCCCTGCCACGCACCGACACCGCGGACCCC